TCAACCAAAGAAAACAAGACAGCATGTCTGGTCGTAAGCTAGGGAAGATTGCGGTGCAATCCAGCGCCTTCTTTTTGTGTGACATGCAAGAAGGATTTCGTAAAACAATAAGCTATTATCCTGCAGTTATTGAAGTGGCCAGGAGGGTGCTTGCTGCCAGTGAACATTTGAATATGCCTGTTGTTGTGACTGAGCAATACCCGAAAGGTCAGTAGACGGAACGCCTTGATAATGATAGCGTTGCCGTACGACCTTTGATCGTACATTACATCTAGGTTGCCTCTAATTTCTTCAAATTGCATTTTCTTCTTCTTTTTTTTTTTTGGGGGGGGGGGGATTGAAGATAAATTTAGAGTAATTATTATTATTCTTTGCAATTTTGTATTTCGAAATACAAAATGAATGAATTTAATTATTATTACACTTGTATATATTACCATAGTAACCCTTAATAAAGTACAAAAATTAAAACACAAATTATTATGTAGTGAGAACTAAGTGTTTTTCATTTAAATGCTTCATACGAGTAATAAAATCAACCCTTATCAATAAATATTTAACATGGTTTTAATGTTTAGGTCTTGGTCCAACTGTAAGTGAACTGAATGTGAAGCACCATAAAGTATTCCCAAAGACTAAATTTACAATGGCCATACCAGAGGTGGAGGAACACCTTAGCAAATACCCAGGTTGGTAGCTACTCACCTACTGTGGTAGTCCAAACAATGAGCCTACTAGCATACTGTAGCTACATCAATGTTATGTACATTTTCCTCTTTCACTGTTTTGCTTGAAAAATACAAGTAAAGTTAAGGTGAATGGTGTGTGCTGTAAAGCCTCTTAAATTCTCCCCTTACTAGCTCTCACCTTCGGTGTTGCATACTGTCAAATAGTTTAGTAACTGTGAGAAAATATGTGACAATGTTGTCTCATCATTACAGATTTGCAGTATTTCTATAAACACCAAATGATGGCACTTCAATAAGATACATAGTGGATACTACAGTTTAATACATGAAGAATACATGTTGTTTTTAATGACAGTCAATTGGTTTCCAGTGTATATACCTTGCAAATGTACAACATAATGTGAAAAGGAACTGCTTGACTAGACACAGAAAACGCACCATCTGGCAAATTAAAAGTAGAATGTAATGTAAAAAAATTCGAAGTCATATTACTTTTAACAAATGAATATATAACCTGGCTCATTCATATTATGCAAAAATTTTTAACAATTCACAATTCCAGATATAAAATCCATATTACTGTGTGGTATAGAGGGTCATGTCTGTATCCAGCTAACTGCACTGGACCTGTTAGAAAGGGGATATGATGTTCACGTCATAGTGGATGGTATATCATCTAGGAGCATGGTGGACAGGTACAGTAGATATGGTTTTTAAGACAAAATGGTGGTATAAATCTGATGGATTGTTAAAAGTCAGTGTCATATATGTTTATACATGTTTGTAAGATAAATCTGTATAACACAATTTGCATGTAGAAAGACCCAAACAATTATGTAAAGTTTATGATGCTGATTAACACTTTGCTGATTGACAGTTGTATGATTGTCATCGTTGCCATATGATGAAGTGCTTTCAGACAGACTGCTAGGCTTTGTTTTAATGTTGCACACTGGATTCAATTTCAAAGTACTTTTACATTTCAGAATGTTTGCTTTACAGCGGATGAAGGAAGCTGGTGCCTTCCTTACCACAAGTGAGAGTGCCCTGCTGTCCCTGGTGGCAGATGCTAAGCATCCACAGTTTAAAGGTGTCCAAAAAGTCATCTGGGACTCTGCCCCTGACAGTGGACTTCTAGGACCTGGTACACCAGTCTAATAAACTTACAGGACCTTGGGCAGGCTCTAGCAGGGATGATTTCTTAACACTAGACAGGGGTCATCTTGTCTGGACCTTTCTGAAGGGTCAGATTGTTTTGCCATCATACATTAATTAATACACCATACATTGCAATTAATATTATACTGTCATGTATCAGTGAATAATTGAAGAATAAAAATTATTTTAATTGCGTAAGTTTTAAATGTGTATGAATGTTTGCAAAATATTTTTTTGGGAGGTGGTAACTAAATACAGGGAAAATTGTCAGGTCATGGTTGCTTATTTCAAATTATAAAAGTGGTAAAAATTGCACTCTATTTATGTCAATAAAACAGTACTGCACAGGTTTTGTTTCAAGAGTAAGGTTATGTAGGGAGTACAACAGAGAAACTGCACACAAAGGGTGAAATATTGGTGCCAATGAAACTGCCTTAGGCAAGTTTATTTATAGTTGCTATATGAGAGGAGTGGAAGAAATTATTTGCTCGATTCAATAATTGGTTGGTGTTGGTGGCAAGAGCGGGAGTCACCCCATGTTGCTTGAGCAGTAACACCTTGACAACCGAGTGGCGTGATAAATTGTTAAAGGGATAATAACTTATTCGTTTTGGCCAAAAATGAATTTTCCAGGAGTAAACAACAAATTTCCCATACTTACCAATGGTTAATGAATCCATTTTTACATTCAAAGTTAGTCCCTGTTTTTTTTTCTAAATAGTTAGTTTTTTTGTTAAAATCTTTTAAGAGATTATAACAGAGTATAGCCATCAGTGGAGGTCACGTGGTCTGAAGACAAGCTCAGATATCAGAATAATAGCTATTACTCCTGTTTTTGTCGTAAAACAGAATATGTTATATTTCTAGGAGTTATTCACAATGTTTTTATTGTGAAATATAGACCTCATACGAAGAGTTATTATATACCTTTGAGATGGATACTTGAGCGAGGTTGGCAAGTATTGAAGGTGGGGTGAGTTTAAAATAAAGTTTCTTACCTTCTGGCGGTCTTGTGTTGTGGCATGTTATGTAGAGGTGGTATTCTTGTACACTTTTTGTGACTGCGGTCCGGTTGGTGGGATTGATCTGATGCTGGACGCACATGGTGAACGCGTTGTAATTAAGTATTAAGGAGTTGACCTGCGATTGGTCAGTGATGTCCCGAGTGTTGTAATGATTGCACACAGGGAGCTGAGTGGTGATGGTGTGTCTGACTACCATGCGTGCTACTGCTCTAGCAAGAGACTCCCGAAGTATATTGCACTATTAATGAAATTATAGTCTTTGCCAATAATTTAGTATATACTGTATATTTGTTTTGCCAGTTTAGATAATTTCCCAACACAAGCATTAATTAAAAATATATAGTTTATATTGATAAATATTTTGCTAGTTAAATGCTTTTATGTTAACTGTGAAAAAAAGTGAGCAGTCTTGATTTTGAATTGGTAGAAGATTGTAACACATAAAAGATTAAAATATATTTAATTTTTATTTGCATGTTTCTGTAAACTTGAAAAATAAAGTTTTATCACATTAACAGATATCTTTACATGTTAATGGACTCTTGCTGCTGGTTATTTTATAGCAGCCCACCTGTGTTGTTAACTACATCAATTAATATGAAAAGGCTCGAGGTTTATTAAGGCTCCAAACATCTCTTTCTCTGTTAATTATAATTCTGGGTGCAGATTAGGCTGGTGCATCCCTGATCTAAAGGATTTTATAGACCTACTTATCACTTCCAGTGAACAAAAGTGTACCTTCCATGCCCAATTTGGCTTGAGGTAAAAAAAATGGGTTGTGCAACCTTAAGTTCCATGATTATGTTTTTTTCCATCCCAAATTATACATGTTATTAAAATTTCCCATGTTTGCAATGATTTGGTTTATTTAGATGTTAAAGTCCAAGTCCCATTAAACATATAGCCAGGGGCATAATAGAGTAATGCATTCAAAACTGAACACATCACAATTCCTTTTGTCAACTACTTGGATCTTCACTGTCCTTTTTATTTTCCTTCAACTGTTCTGAAGTTTTCTGTATAGTGGTGGCTTCCATTTGTGCTAGTTTCAGAGTGGCATCTTTGGATTGCTCTCTTATCACCTTCAACTGAGTCTGAGCTGAGTAAATCCGCTCACTTGCAGCAATACTTGCATATTCAGCACCTTGAATAAAATAACTGAACAATAATTTGCTTTGAAAATTTAATCTGATCTAATGACCAGTTTCACTGTGTAAGTAAACTTATCAGAAAAATAAAATAAAACTCCAATGGAAAATACATTTTTATGAAGATAAAAAACCATGTATTAATGAAGCACCACTGATTACTTGTTAAACCTGTGTTTACCTACAATAATTAGATGTTATCTTCAATGTTGTTAAACTTACCTGCTGCATATGCAGCTTCAGCAGCACTGTTTAAAAGTTTCTCAGTAAATGCATACAGGGTTTCCAATTCCTGAAGTGCAAAACACACAATCACAATTACATTTATATGATGTATACTTTTAGCCTTTGAAGAAAATAAGATCTTATCAAACAACAGAGCAATAAATTTTACTTGCATGATGAACAAGAAATTCACTCATGAGACGTTTCCGACTTTTGTCAGAATTTTGACTTTTTCAGGGTCATTTGGGTCATTCTTGTGAATCATGTACCCTAAACCCCTGGTCAATTTTCCTACTTTTTCAGTGAGGACTAGTCTCATCCCTGGTAATTAGAACATAGCCCGAGCTAGGGTTTCAGAGCCAATGCAAACCAGCTTCTTCATTTTCAAATTTCCATTGTTGCTTATGAACTTAAACAATGTCTGACTGAACTTCACCATGCCAATCACAAATGTTAGGTCTATTAACTAGGTAATTATCCCATGTAATAAACTATGAAATCCACATGACTGGTTGTTTCTGACTGGTATGGTCGACTCCAATCAAACTTTCTGCAGACTGTTAGAGTTCACAAAGTATTTACTGGGATTTGACAATGAAAAAGCTGGCCTGCATAAGGCCTGATGCTCAGGACACTAATTAAAGTAGGACTTGATGAAAGGTACGTTCCTGTCTTGCCATAGCTTTTTCATTCATATTGACCCTGGCTTCCATTATCATGTCCCAGACTTGCTGCTCAGCAGCTGGATTCCCCAGCACTTTAAGGTTAGCTTCCATGACAGTTAACAAATGACTGACAGCCTGAAAGATGGCAAATGAAGACATTATGTGACTGCTTATTACACCAAAGTTACAGTATTCTACCTTTAGTATTATTCCATGAGGTAAACAATGTTTTTCTTATTTGCTGCTCAACAACCTGTTGAACCTGTATCTCCTGTTTTATGCAAAACTACTCTGCTGATTATATTAGTTCATCATCTAATTACTAAAATACATGTACCTCTATGTATTCTTTCTGTGCCTGGAGTAGTGCTGTAACAATCTGTGTAAGCAGTGTAGTGGCTGCATCCACACTACTGACAGCAGCATTGCGAATGAGATAGGGATGAGACAGGTGAACAGGATTTACTGTCTGGAAATATGATTCTAACATAAACTTCATAGTAATAGCAAAAGAAAAAATATTAATTGAAAAATGCTTAATGTAAAAAAAAAAAAAAAAAAAAAAAAAACAGAATCAACCACCCACAAGCAATCCTAAACCCTCCCCAAGTGCACTAGAATTCCACACATCACACAAGTCCCTGATGATACATGTAGCTATATATAAGGGAACATTCCTAGACCCTGTCGTACTAACTGTGGATTGATCTATCTCAGAGGGGATTTTTGCTAAATTGCAATCAACGTAAGCGGCTTAGATGCCTGTCACGGGGCCGTAGCGATAGTCCGAAGGTTCAATAGTCCGAAGGTTCATTGGTCCGAATGTTCACTATAGAACCTTCGGACCAATGAATCCTTGATTAAAAAATCGATAAAAATGTTACCACTTTTCGGACCAATGAACCTTCGGACTATCGAGACGCCCCCCCCTGTCACGCCTACTGAAGGCGCTAGGGGGTGATTAAGATTCATTTAGCAACGTAACAGACATCTAAGCCGCTTGAAGATGAAAGCAATTTAGCGAGAAACCCCTAAGAGATGGATAGATCCTGTTAGATCGATCTAGGTACATGTATGAGAACCCAGTCTAAATCCCTCTATAATGGTCTAGGATAACAGAAATTACGCTGTGAAAAAAATTCACCCCCTCCCCCCGATTGTATATGTATTTAACATTGCAAAACACAATCCCCGCTTTTTAGGAGGGGAGGTGCATTTCAATAGCTACGAATAGTACGGAATGAGGGGTTATTTTATATGTTTTTTGAACATCGACCAATCCATGAAATCCGAAGTTGGAGGCTCAAGAGATATGCTTGAAAAAGTGCATGAAGATTGAAGAGAGATCTCTCAAGACGAATGTACCTGGATGCCTCCTGGAGAGTTTTCATCGTTCGTTGTATTCTTTGCATGAAGAGTAAACAATGAAGCACCAACTGAACCCTTCAAATATCTCTTACGGTTGCAAGTTTTATAATTCCGGACAAAAGTTCTCATCCACCGTCCAACAACATTCATGCCGACTGCTGTAAAGCCAGTCCTTTTAACGTAGTTCAGTTTCGATCCTCCCCCCCCCCCTCCCGCATATTACTAAGTTAACATAACTCAACAAAAGCAGAAATGATGAAGATAACATCATTTCTAGTGTTTTGTTAACTCCGTTGAAACTATATCGACTTTTATCGAACAAACAGAAATTAAATGTATATTTAGATTAAAAAAATAAGTTAGCGCAGTGCTCAGCGGATGCTCCTCTGATGCAATCTAAATCTTGTAAATGCGTTGTTTGGAAAGCCCAACTGATTGCAAAGGAATGTTCTTTAAATAAGGGCTTTAAGAAAGATGTGTATCGATTTGGACCAAAAGCTTTATGTTACATTTAAGTAATACCTAAATTACAAAACTTACTTTTCCTGAACATAAAATTGTATCCTTAGCGTTTTTCAGAAAAAAAAAATCACTTCAAATGAAAATGGAATAGGCCTTTATATAGGCCTATATATTTCTCAGTAATGGTTTTCCGATCGCATAACCAAGCTTGAAAATCAAAATCATTCAATATTTTTAACCATCATTTTCCTTTTTTATGTTTGCTGCAACGCAGAAGTAGTAGACCGTCATATGGTAGTCCATTGAAACTTTCATACGCGTATAGCCATATGCAACAATGTTCCCGCTGTTGTTTCCTTACCTCCAAAAATAAACGACCACACACAAACACCATATTTTACTATGAAAAATTCTTAAACTTAGAAATCAATGTTCCGTTGCAGAATTCCTTTTTCTGCATGAAAGGTTTAGAAACAAAAAACAGCGACAGAATGTGTATTTTTAGGAATGCGGAGATTCTACTGAGAATTCATGTTTGCATATCCTTGCTACTCAATCTCTGTAAAGGGCCTAGGTCTCGTTAATCATGGCATATGTCTTACCTTTCTCAGCTTACATAGCAAAATCCATCCTCACATAACTCAGATTCGTGGGCATGGGCTGGAAAGTCCGGAAAGTACATGTACATTGAGTCACATCATGAACATTATCTCTTATTTAGATATTGAATAAGTAACTCACGAAGATTAATCAATTAAAAGAACTTTATTTTGATCTTGAAATGGGTAAATGAAAAATATAATTGATCCCTGCTTTAATTCAAATTAATTTACTTATCAAATTTCGTTCAATCCTTGATTTTTGACAGTCGTTGAAGCGTATTTCCCTTTAAAGATATAGGCCTACCTTTTAATTTTTTCAAAATGACTAAAATTCAATAGAGATATGATTGAATCACAGTTTAATAGGAAAATATCTTGTCGTACTCATCCGTGGGAGTCTACCTGGTTACCTTTGCCCTTTTTTTTCATGCCGCCAAGAGACGCGCGATTTCAAATATTGAGGCAAAAAGCGTTCCGGATGTCGCTGGGGACTGCTTTCAGCACCGCACTTGGGAGAGCGGTTAGGGTTACATTGGTTCTTGCCCTGTCAATCCCAGAGGTGTCCGAGCGGAACAGTGTTATACTAAAACAATCTGACACGTCAATGACTCGGGCGACAGAGTTGACGTTAAGTTCTGTAGTTTCTGGTAATTTGTCAATGTGGTGTGAAAGACATGGCGCAGTCGGAGATTATATTTTTGTTTAGTTGGGTGTATTGCTTTTCTCGTCCCTAACCAACACATTGGGTTTTGTAATTGCTTGCCTCGCTTAAATGCATTTTTAAAAGGTGAGCTTAATCGAACGCCAAGTAAATGTTTTAAAGGGTTGATAAGGTGTCTGAATGAGCATTATATGCGGACAATCAACATGTTTCAGGAGATGGATTTCAGTGAGCTGGATTTGACAATGTTGTCCAATTTGGCATACTTTTTTCGCATTATTTCTTATCCTGAATTTCTAGTATACTTTATCTGAAATAGATTCAGCATCTAATGTCAGTGTCAAAGAGAAATAACATTGGTTTCCGGACATAGCTGTAGTGAAGGCTTCAGTAGTGACCATTAAAAGTCGCTCACAGGGCCACCGCAGTGGAAAATTAACCCCCATTTGAATAAGATATCCTACCTCTTTCTATTTCTGGCAGGTCCAATTAATTTTCTTACAAAATCTTGCTGTATAATGGTTTCTTTAGTGAATAAAGAAAACAAAACATTGGATTGATATCAGAACTCCCAAGGCGGCTACACATAAACACTCCACGGCAATCTGCCTAATTATGTGTAGTTAAAACAGCACGCGCTGCCGCCTTGCTTGGACAGTGGAGGCAAACAGGTGAGAAACAGAAACGCGCCGTGTTCCCCTCCCAGGATGACAGGAAGTTGAACATGAATGACGTTACCTTGTTGATTAATTCAATTAAGAGAATCGAAGAAACGTGATGCTTGTTCGTATCTAATTTATCGTAATAAAGAAACCACACACATCCCCGAAAACATGAAAGTTGTTGAAACGACCTACGTTACCGCCAATGTGACAGCTTATCATTTAGGCCTATGCAATGTCGCCTTGTCTTAAATTATGGGTAAAGTTAGTGGATCTTTTGCGTTAAAGTGAAGGGAGTTGGTATTGGTTTGATGTTACATGTAGATTTCTGGGACACATCGCGTTCAGTAAACCTAAATTAAATGGTTGACATAAAAAAAACATGGAGGCACTAAACTTATGAACTTAGCCCAACCAAGAAATCAAGATGAAATCTTCCTAGAAGGGCGGAATGCGAAATGCTTATGTCATTTTGATTTCGACTCTAATATGAATAAATTCAGAGTGTCAGAAATCTCCTTTAGGATGAGAATTACATTCTTTTATTCGCTTCCTATTCGATATCTGTTGATGAAATAAGTCAGCACAATGCGGAAATATAAAAATAAGGGGGAACAACACAGGTGACAAGTTACATATTTCCGTGAGCCATTTGCAGTGTGTTAGTGTCATCTGTCATTTTTGTGTGGCAGTTTGCCCCCCTTCACTTCAGTGGGGTTAAGTCGTTATGTTCCGCATGGGCTATATGGCAGCAGCCAGGGTGGCAAGCGCGCTGAACTTGTATCAGTATCCCTTCTTTAGTAATATTCTTCTGTAATCTTCTCCAGAGAGCAATTAAAATAGATCGAATGTTTCTCAGGAAATTGTACATATTTCTGGGCCACAATCGGATTTTTGTGCTACTTGAGATGAAATTTGAGTCTTGGTTTGTCACACAATTTGCTATTTTTTATTCCCAATTTCACGCTAGGTTCTCTTATTCCCACCCACTCTATGTTCCACACCCAGACAAGCTCATTTCAGCACAGGAAAAAAAATTCGAGTACACCGTGACGAAATATCGATAAGGAATTATTGCGCGTTCGTCTCAGCCCGTTGAAGTAGTCATGTTGCAGTTTTGTATGATTTGTGATGATTGAGAGGTTGATAATGTCATCAGTTCTATGTACCATTGACGCCTGCCACACTGTTGTTGAAAAGAGAAATCTTGTAGGCTGACAGCTGGTAGAACGAGGCCAAAATCCCGAGAACAAGTGGCAGAACACAAAAAATTAGACCGGTATGAAATGTGTTTTTGTCGAACAATAACAATAATTTTAGATAATTACAAATGTATACAGACTAAACAGACATGGCTTCATGTATATAAACATATATGCATTTAACAGCCACGTACTCTTACTGTGCACGTGGTCGCTAACAGCGCATGTGTGCACTAACGGCCCGTGAGCGTAGGTGGATGAATAGCGCTCGAGGAAAGTACACTGTACCTCTTAGTAGAAATGAATCTCGAAAGCAGTGTATTGTTTTTACCAAAACCAGCCAAATTACACGCCAGTAAATATCCTGAATTTATCATCCTTAATTTTCATCATCACCTTGAAAGCCAGAAAATACGGTCTCATGCAGATTTGGAGCAAAGCGCACTGTAAAGGAAGACGAGAGAAAAATGACAAAAACATATTAGCCAAGTTCTTCTTTATTTATTTGAACACATTTTCTTTAACAAATCATCTCAAAATTAAGGTGCGTATCGAATGTTTATAATTTATTCGAAGAATCTTTGATTGACATTGCAAGCTGCACGATTTATAGGTGACTTAAATTTATTCCGGCCAGATGGGAGGCGAGAAATGTGAATGCCTGTTATTTTTCTAAGGTGGCAAAAATACCGAGTAGTATTTCATGTGCAATGAACCCTCGGGAACGATTTCACACATATACACACACATGCACACAATCTGTTGGAAGTTATATGGGAAAAACATATGGCTCTTGGACAAAAGCCGAGATATGATTCTCTTATAGATATTCCAAAGTTTAATAACCGGTCATTTCCCAATGCCCGTTAACTAAATGTGTTTCTCTGGTCTTCAAGGTTTTTTTCAATGGTAAGATAATGCCTTGTTTTCTTCACAAAATAGCAAACATACAACAACTGTGCAAACATTTTTCTAGCAGGTGTTCCAGTTGCGATTTCCAGTATTTTTTTTCAGTACCAGATAAATCATTATAAGAGTGTACTGTACCAGGGAGACCCCTTGATAAACTACTTATTTTATTGTGTTTTTAGCAACACCACAGCTGTGCCGGGAAAGACTCACTTGGCGCCGACTTGTCTGGGACGACTGGCTTTAGAATAGTTCTATTCCGGCGCAGTCTGCTTTACTGGCTGACCAAAGGTGCTTAATCATTCTACTTTCCTTTTTAGGATGGTTCCGTCTTGGCGCCTTTTATTCCGTAAGTATAGGTACGAAAAACCATGCACAAGGGATATTTTCATGTATTTGTTGTGCAAATGCGCCAGACCAATAGAAAAACATGGCAATAAATGCAAATAATGTAAAATGAAAAGTACTACCGCGTACATGTTTTTCCAGAAGATGCAAACGCAGTGAGTACATCGTCTCGTTGATTGACATGCGGAAGTGTGAGGGTATGGTTACGCGCTAGTCACGTGATACTATCACACATAAACGTGTGAATTTGGAAACAAGAACAGAGGGAATTGATTGTAGTGGCAGAGAAACTTCCATGCAAGTCCAGACACTATGACAGAAGAAGTACAAACACCTTTAGCCTCATCTACAAGCGATTCTGCTTCAGAGCAAGATCATCATGACGATCCGGACTCGTATCTACTAGATATGCCAGGGAAAGCCTCAACCAGTAGCCCTAACAAACGTTTGTTACGAACGCCCAAGTGTGCTCGCTGTCGTAACCATGGCGTTATCTCATGCTTAAAGGGCCACAAACGGTACTGCCGCTGGAGAGACTGTAGCTGCCCTAACTGTCTTCTTGTCGTGGAACGCCAGAGAGTTATGGCGGCTCAAGTGGCTCTGAGAAGGTAGGAATATTTGCTTAGTTCGCTCTCATATATATATATATATATATATATATATATATATATATATATATATATATATAAGGGTGCATAGCTCAAGATTCAGAACATTTCCCTCTAAGCGTGTCAATGTTTTGAAGTTAAACAAAATTTAAAGCGCTGATTTAAATATAACCTCTGTGTTTTGGTATTGGTAAATTTATTTCTCAGCGACTTTTAATTTTTTCCTGAATGTTGTAGTTTTCCTTGTGTTGATATTCCACAATTGGTATATGGATATCTTATATTTTGAAAAAAAGGGCGAAAAATGAAACGTCAGTTAAGTAAGACAATTTTATTAAAGTTGGTTTTGAAATCTGTATAAGTTTCAAGCATCATCTGAACGTTGGACTGTCAATGAAAAAAGTGTTTTTACACTTCTTTACTTTTTTACTTATTTGTAATAAATAACGCGCTTAAATAATTCCAAATAATTTAGTAATAATTTTTTATCTGGTGTCATCCTTCCCTTCAGTCGCTTGTTTTTAAAAAGATGAAATATGAAAATCTATGTAGACTACAAAGGTTTTCCCAATAATGAAAATGTTTCTGTAAAATAAACTTTGTATTTTTTATAAGTCGGATAGTAAAAAGCATTTACATGTAGCTGATTTAATTCAGAAAAGGAATAAAATAAGTTTGCAAACAACTTCGCGCTTCTAAAAAGTGTAATTTGATCAATAAAGCATATCTGAAAAAAGTAAGTGAAGTAAATAAACAGGAAAACGGCGCGATCTTTTAAAAACGTGTGGATTGATGAAATTATAAGTTGGCGTTAGATCAGGTTCACATTCACCTGTTTCTTGTTACCTACAAGCTGTGTTATTAAACTCTAAAACATAAACATTTTGGCATTAGTTTACAGAATCGACTTCATTTTCAAATATTATTACAGCACTGTCATAACAGTTATGTTACTGTTGAGGGCTTTGTTAAGTCTTAATTTAATCCGATAATTAGTCAACCTTCTGTGTATGTATGTTAACTGCATGGAGTATATTAATATTCAATATGAACAGTCTATTTAATCGTTGTTGTACATAACCATACTTATGCAAGTATTTGTACGTGAATAAAATAAATTTTATCTAATTAATTAAAATATTTATTTTCTAGCTCTTGTCTTCTTAAACTCAACAAAAATAAGCATTGACACAATTACAATATTGTAGCATTTAAAATACTTAAATTAATGTCTCCACATATTTTATGTGGTATCTTATTATCGTTGTAACATCGTTTTCTTTCCTTAAAAACCAAGGAATTATGCATATTCAGTTAGTGGTATGGATTAAATAAGTTCAAGGGTGATTAGGCCTTTATAAATAAGTGAAATAATCATGAAAAAAGGTCTGTTTGCCTGAAAAAAACTTGTCTTATATAGGCCTACGTGTAAGGACGTCAGGGTTACGTTATTGGTTCTTATCCTTGTTAGAATTAATTCTGTCCTCTTGAAGATGAGTTTTTATGGAAGAAAATCTTGAGCCATGCACCCTTATTAAGTACAGTGTGTATTTCAAGTTTCATCTGCAATTGATAGAAAAGCACCCAGACTTTTAGACTTGACAATAATTAGTGGTAAAAAATCACAATGAAGAATAATATCTTTATCATAGTTTTAATTAGGTGTATACATGTGTATTGTTCAGTGCTATTTTCTATTCGTGCAACATACATGTATAACATCATTTTGAATGAACTTGTTCACATATTTTTTGTTTTTAACAATTTCTTTTAATTACAGTTTGTCTTAAGCAAATACTACTCACAATTAATAGTAGATATGTTTGACTGAGAGTGTATCGTATCTATTTGTTTAAAATATTTTTTCTTTTAATTATAACAATTCACAAGTAAATGCTCCATATAATGATCTAAATTTGAGATGATAATTATTTTCACTTTTTCTATATTACTCGGTCAAAGGTATATCAAATAACGGTACAATACAACTGATTTAATTGAGTATTTTTTTTTTAGCTTTTTAGTCTTTTTGATACAAAATATAAATCACAAGTAACATGTCCCAAATATGTTGTTGCAGTTAAGACGTTTTTAACATCTGCAGAATTTTCTTTAATATATGCAGTTCAAAAGTTGGATTTTATTTTTATTTCGCCCGAGTTTCGCTAGATTATATGTATTTTGTCAGAGAAAGTTAGAAAAGATTTTTAAAACTCCATATCACATTGGAATGATAGAAGTTAACGAGCTTTTAAAATTTCATTTTATTCATAAATTTATCTAAAACAGCTTGTAAAATTTAATTTAGAGAGGTAAAAAAAAAAGTATCAGCATGATTAAAAACGTAACATGCTATCAACAATAAATAATCTCCCCTGATGATGAAATGTAACCGCTCGGGAGAATATGTAGCTACCAATACTTAAACAGTTATTTTCAGCTTCAAACTTGTACTTAAGAACGTATTCAGACTGACTTGAAAAACTGATGGTTCTCACAGGCGATTTCTCCCCTTATTCGGATAAAACTAAAGCATTTATTTGAAAGCTATGGAAGTACTTTTGTGTGCAATTTAAAAGGTTTTACAGGTCGCGGATATTTTATGGCTATTTCCTACATGTAGATACAAAATGTTTGACTTCAAAAAGGTTCCTAGTAAAAAAATGTAGTAAAACAATTATATGACATTAAATTTTGTTCAAGAGGAATCGGGAAAATACTGTAGAATTGAATGATGCAATGTTCGTAATAAAATAACATTTTGTGATTTCAAGTTAAACCAATCAAGTTAAAAATCAAATTGCAAAATTTTCAAACGACGGACAGTTTGAAATCACTTTTTTCTTATGGGTTTTTTCTATTGCATTTCCCTTCCTTCAACAAATTAACATTAAAGGATTTCATTGGAACTCATTACACTCTGGCAATGGCAGTATCAGAGGGTGTGCCTCTCTTTCAACTTTCTAAGCACTTCTAATAACCTGTTTTTTTTTAAATACACATTCTTCGACCAAAGGAAAAAAAGAGAGTGTCGCTCTTAAACGTAATCTATTAAACAACGCAAGAACGGCGTATTTTATTCCGTTGACTCGCAGCGTATATTGTTTACTAGACCGTGTTGACAGTCAAGTTACTGGCCGTTTAAAGTGGGTTGTACTCTAGGCGAGGAATAGAAAATGCATGATGTAATGTTTGAGGTTTTTAAAAGTCGCAATGTATTTGGTACTAATGTCATTATTAACATATTCGCATTTGATTAGAAAAAGTTTTTCTGAGAAAAAAATTAAAAGGGAAGGGTTATATTTATAATCCGCATTCTTTTTTGGTTTCAGACACCAGACGACGGAAATTAACAAAACATTAAAGGCCAAAGTGAAGAACGCTGCTGCATTACTCCAACAGCGGAAACTTCTACACCGCAACCTGCGCAGTTTACAACAACACAGTCTTAGCAAAGAAATACTAGAAAGTAGGTATAAATCCATGTCACTGCAACCTTTTTCTTTCTGTCTGAGTTACAGCCAAGAATTCTTCACTCAAAGAAAATTCACGTTTGATAGGCCAAAATAATTTTTACTTTTTCAGCTTTGTAAATTTAAGCTTAGTTAGTCCTGGAAGGGACAGTAAATAAGATTTTTGATGTCCTAGATTTCACTACTTTTTAAAATGAGGAACCGTGCTTACACACCCAAACCATTTTAAATCCTTTTAAAACAACGAAACAAATACCTCTGCCCAAAATGGAATATTTCATATGAAGTGAAACTGCCAGGAATGAATGTAACCGTTCTCTGCGGGTAATAAAAAGAACGAAAAGGTCGTTGAAAAACGTATATCGCTAAGATATTTAATACTTTGAAATTTAATAAGGCCAAGATCGGGTAGTTTTATAAAATTGTTTAATGCACCATCAAAATTACTAAAAACATTTTTTGTGCAATCTGGCCCTTGTCCCCGTTCTTTGGTCTCGTTGGACGTTATTGTTGATAACTCGCTTCCCTGATAATCAACATATACTACTTTCAAAAAGTTTTTATAATTGTGAATGATGATTACAAATTTTGTTAGAGTTTAACCCAGAAGATTTAAATGTCAAAATAATGCAATTTTATTTTTGTCCTAAGCATACCGAAATCGCCTTCACATACTACCGCCGCCGGAAGCCTTGCGGTCCATAATGCCATTGATGAACGAACGTATGCGAAAAAGAAGGTGTTTTGCAGATAAAGATCTTGAGGTCGCAATGTTTGCACGGGAGCGACAACTGGAACTGGATAAATATCGTTCCGTGGGGGCCTTTCACACACATCCCTCTGTTGCGGGTTTCACTTCCTCCTCTGGGACCTCTACTGACCAAGAATACGCAAATCAGATGGCGAATTTGTCTCCACGGGAACTTCTTCAGCGAATTTTCCCCTATCACAACGCCAATGTCCTCGAACTTGTTCTCCAAGGTTGCGGCGGGAATATAGAAAAAGCAATCGAACAAATTGCTACTGGAATCAGTAGCGTTGGACAGATTCCTCAGCAGGATTTAAAGAATCAGAAAAAAACGCCACAAACCCTGGTCCAACCTGTGTCGTTTTGGAACTTTTACAACTTCAGCCAAACGATTGTTGCTCCGCCTGTTTTAAACGAAAGTGGATCTTGTGGACAGAGGGGGCAATATGACCCTCCAGTAGACTTGTCAATGGCCGCTCCAATACCTAACAAGGGCGTTGTAAATTTGATTCCTAAGGGTTCCAAAGGCAATCGGTCGTCTGCTTTTAGTGCTCCAAATAAAAACGGAAATTTAGTGACAAATGGATACGAGCAAAGAGACTCGAAGCAGGCTAAGTCTTTGATAAAGTTTTCGGTAGAGTCCATTATTGCAAAATGAAATGGCAGTTTAAAACTGTGTAATGGAGGTAGACTCTGTTGTAATATGATCAGTGCTCTTATAGTGTGACGATAAACTTTTTTGGCATTTATTCCGGGAAAGAGCGTCTTCGACAACCATTTTACGCTTTTTTACAATACATTAGCTTTTAAAAAGACTATCAGATAAGAAAAGAACAAGCATACATTATACTTTTTGTATTTGTGTCGTTAAGTGTATTTATAGCGAAATTGGATATTAATATAGAAACAATTCTTTATCTGAGATCTAATGTATAACTTGAATTTTACGGGGGAGAAGTGACAGGATGATTTGTTACTGTATGTCTGTTGAGCAGTATTGGCTACCATCTTATAGACATTGATCAAGGCACTTATCCCGTCCATTGCTGTACCATTCTGTGCTTTTTCCATTCATATATATAACTTCATAGCCATAGATTTATACTCCTACTGCGTGATGGCCCTCGTGTATCACGTAGCTTGATGTAGAAATGAATACAATCTACCAAATAAAAAACAGTATTGGTGTTATTTCTCAAGTCAAAACTATTCTAGCCATGATAAATGAACTTGAACCTATTAGCCCGTTCCGCCCTAGCACCATTGCAGTGATGAGGGGTCAGAGCCTACTTCGTGGGTCTAGCCTGAGAGTAGGGTTATTACCGATTGCGGTAACCACACAGTTAATGCAAGAGTTGGATTTCAATTCCCAGCGCCCGGTCTCCATGATGAATGTATTTGAACTAGGCTACAAGAGAGAGATTAAGAGACTTGGCGATCAAGTTGCTATCGTATTTCACATCAAACCTGATCCGCATCTGGGATAAAGAACTCAGTAGCCCGATTCCTTTACATTTTTTGGAAATTTTCCAGACAGAAGAAAAAAAGTTCAGTATTTTGTCTTTTTTATTTTTACAGCCATACCTTCGTTTTGAGGGAGAAACACGGAAGATAAAAAGCGATAAATAAATGAATGAAATCTAAAAGTGATATAGAATGATCAAATGATTTCTCATGCATAATACAAATATTTCAGTACATTCTTGAAATCATTTGACAGTGAAACAGCCGCCGCTAAACATATACCAAACTATATCAATCAACGTAGATAAATGATAATAAATTTTAAATTAACGTTGAACTGAAACAAATGTATTTTACTGTACATTGTGGCATTAACTTTAGCAGTGTTCAGAAAGATTATTGCACCAAAGGCACCTGAAAAGCAAGAAAAAAACCTGCTAAATCTTGCGGCGCCTCTTCTCGCGTTCACAAACACACTGTCGGTCAGGCGAGGGCACCTCAAAATTAGCCCCAGTACTTGCACAACTAAATTTTTGTTGAAAGGCAACTGTCTAGAATTGCGATATATCTGTGGAAATCAAGTATTTCTTTACAGCAACATATCATCAGTCAGCCAAAAGCACGGAAAAGAATACCCGATCTGCTGCGCTGGAATGCTCTCTGGTGATGACAAGTGGGAAGAAGAGATGTTTGTTAGAATAGTTGGGAGATAGTTTTGATATAGTTTATGTATATTCCTGCTCCTGAATTTCCATCCCAGTGTACTATTACCGACTCATTTACACAACAACTGGCGCTGAGAAGAACCCCAATGACAAACGAGATTTTTTTCACGAAAAAATTAGTTATCCGATAAATTTGGGTAAAGTCTCCCCCTTTCTCTCTCTCTCTCTCTCTCTCTCTCTCTCTCACACACACACACACACACACACACACACACACATTTATTTGATAACGTCTTTTCCAAAATCATTTAGTTATACCGTAGGCACCTTGTTCTAATTCATCCAAACAATAGATGACTTTATTGCGCTCTTTTTAACTGATAAATAATTGTTCATATCATTCTTAGAAATTGAATGGAACTTCTGTGTATCTGTGTAGAGGTCATAATGACCATATAAGAATGTTATGCGTGTCAGCAAATTAATAAACATGTTTGATCTTTGAAAAGTATCCAAGCGCGCCTATCTCTCACATTTTCCGAGAGCTTGGTTTCTGAGAAGACAGCTTTCCGAGTATCAAATTAGCCAACTTGTCTATAAGATTTATGCATCTTCATTTCGCCGCGGTGAAGGATGAAATTAAATCCTTCCTCTCTGATCACGGTAAAAACGTGGCACGTAAAAACTGCGAGAAGCACAGACAATGATGACATAATTAACACCCTGAACGGAAAATGATCCTGTTATCTGCATAACTGATATACTTCAGCCGACTGCCGTCGACTGATGAAACCTACGAGGCGTTCTGCCCCTGTCAATCACGAGTCAGCCTCTGTAACCCGTGCCTTGTTGAAACAATGTTCATACCGTAGTCGGGCGAGAAAAACACAACCACACTGTTGCTTGTTATTGTTTTAAACTTAAATGTATCTAATATGCTGTCAATTAATGTCTCAGACATATCTTATCTGCTTGAAATTCAAATCAAAACGAAATGTAGCGTGAAAGATAACAAGCATGTCTGTCGAACACTCATCAGTCTGATTTCTTAACCTCAGAGAAGAGAAAGAAATAACAAAATATTAAGGACAAACATTTATCTAACCGTAAAATGTGAAAGAATGATTTTACTGATAGTAGGGCGCGTGTCACCTCTACGCAAAGGAAATATTATTGTATGACTTAAGTTAACTTATTTTAAGGTAGAGCGGGTGATTTTTTTTATCAAAATGAAGCGATTCTTTTTTATTATAAAATTTTGACTTTAAAAAACAATAAACAAATATGAACAGGTACAGCAAAAATTTTAATTTGGCAGCTTTTTGATGTATTTGTTGGGTTTAAAATGTAATTTTAATTCTTGTCAAAAAAAAAAAAACATTGGAGTTCGAGTTCACGGACAGAGACATACAATCAAGGAGATGATAATGAATTGCTAACAGGAAATCACAAAATGGTCTGGAAATCGCGTTTGGACGATGAATGGTTTTAAATGAATGAATACGGTGAGATTGACATCGGCCATTACGATCTAAATTCATTTCATAGACTATCTCGACCCTTACGTCTCAAATGGAAACAGATATGAATATTATCGAAATCATTGTAAAAGCCTAAAAAGAATAAACAGTATGCATTTGAAGCATTCGTGCAGTCTATTTCAAAAATATAAAGAAAAATTTGAGATAATAAACATCCAACCAACAGTCTCGCAGCTAAACGAATGGTTTATGAAAATGTATTTGCCTATTTGTCAGTGCTTAATTTTTTTACCTGTTGCTTTTACTGAATGGCACTCACATCTCTTGCTTATTAATTGTACATGTATCACTTGTACAGCAATTACCTTCCTGTCTTTGTTCTCCAAAATATCGGATCAAAACGTTCTCTGCAAAACAGATAATATGAAGAAGTCATTTCATCGTCCAGAACCTCCATTTATACAGATTTCAGTAAGTTTTCTTAAATAAGGAGAACCTGATTTATGTACATATGAATAATACTAAATAACGTATTTAAGCACATTGGAAGCACGATTGGTGGAAATGACAAGGAAAGCTGTTAAGAATGATTTAGGGAATCTTTCCCCAAGTTTATTTTTTCTTACTTTTTTCTTTCTTTCTTCGAAAAAAAAAAGATGTGAGAAAATCTGTACGTTTCATAGTTATTTTACAAAAACAGTGGTCGTTCCGCACCAAGCCGTTCATACGCCTCTCAATGGTGGTATCCACGTATTCAGAGCGCCTCTAAAAGCTCTTAAACATTGGTGGTTTTACTTAAAAGCGAATTCGATGCCATTTCTATGCTATTTGACTAATTGAACAGTTGTAAGCTAATACACTGTTTGATGTTTTATGATATCATCTACCAAGAACACACATCACGACTCAGCGTTCAGTCCCTGGTTTGTATACATCTCGGTGGCTTCTTTCCCGCGCAAATATCAACAAATAGACCTCTCGTCTGCGGCTCTGAGTTGCCTAAATGGACATGAGAGGAGCTAATCATTGATATTTGAGAGTTTGGAAAAATAAATTTGAACACCATCATATCCCGCTTAAATGTACACAAAATTGGGTGGGTAATTTAAGGTAACTCCGGGGGCTAAGTGACTCGGTCATGCTTTCTATATTTTTTTGTTTTCTATCAGCAGTGTCAGACCCATTTATAGTCAGAGTGCCACTGTGTCTAAGCCATACCCTCTCAAAGTGTGTTAACCACTACCAATCCTGTAGATTTTTGGCATTGTCATATTTACAGCGTAGATTATACAATGCCCGAGTGGGGTTGAAACGCTTTTTTTCCATCTCAGTCGTTGACTTTGGTTCATGAGTAAATCAGTCAAGCTTTGCACTGCCATATTTGGGCATTTTTACTTTTGGATGTGCCACTCACAGTGTGCCAGTAAAAAATAAGGAATATGTCAGTTGTTATATACAAGAAAGCTCTGGGCCAAAAGAAAAAAAAAAAAGATTTACAAATTAATGAAAGAAGCATCTTAATAAGAATATAAAATCACAGTTCAATTTGGTCACTGATTGACCCCTTCTATTCATTACTCTGCCCTGTCACAGACGATCTGCTTAGACGAGGACAGTCGAAACTGTTTACTCTTTGGTGTTTTACGTTTCCACTGATGAAACTGATATAAAATAAATCAACATCCAATAAAATGATTATTTAATTTGCATAATCTGACACAAAGGATAATTAAACGCAAAAACAACTCCGGATATTGAAATGATTTGTTTTAGGAAACGCTGTTTACCATGACAATCTATTCATGTCGCAAAAAATGTTATACATTTAGGGCCTTATACTAAGTGCAGCAAATGATACAAATTATTAAATAAAGGGAAACGCCCTTGTTTGCTGTCATTAAGTCATCATCACCGACATATCTAACATTACCTGCCTTCAATTGGTTTATTTTTCGTTTCCCTTGACAGCTTGGTCAACCACATCCACCTTTGTATACTTCCAACTATAAAATTGCAGTAGTTGCGCGGTAGGCCAGCTAAGACAATCATGTGCATTCTCTCTCGTTTATTTGACGGTTGAGAAATAGAAAAAAAATTGAATGGATAAATAAATAAGTAAAATAAAATAATATAATGATACTTAAATGACAATGCTCCAAAAATTACAGTCAAACAAAGTAAAGTAATTCCGTTAGTCTTTTGTTTTGATTCAACAGAAATCTTAATTTTCAATCTCCGGAATTCCAAGGAATTTTTTTTGTTTTTTTTTCTGTTTTTTCATTTTTTATTTTTTATTTTTTTGATTTTCTGTTTTTTTTTCTCTTGGAGAATTTGGTTCTCATGATTAGCAAGCGCACGACTGACTGTCGAGGCTAGGTTTTATTCTCTGTCTACCCGGGTTGGGGTAATTCACAGAAATGATTACTGTCATTCAGACACAAACCAGGCTCTCAAATCCATGACATCAAAACTGTTATTTAAAAAAACACAAGGCAAAAGGTTCTTGAAGTGCTATCCAGAAATCAAATAACAATTCTCGTGGCGTCTAAA